ATTTTTGCAGATGAAGAAAGGCAGGCCCTGACAAGGTTTTCCCAAGGTTATATGGCAAGTCAGTGTCTCTCCACCTACGTCCACCCCCAGTCCCATCTGCCCAGGCTACTACTGCCCGGCTTCCATGCTTGGGAAGATCATTCCTTCAAGTGAGAGTCTGAACCAGGAGGTAGCAGAGTGAAATGGCATGTTTCTGTGAACAATGTTGCAGAAGGTAGCCACTGAGCGGTGTTGATGGCCCAGCGCACAGTCAAGCAACCTCCAGATGAGTGACTGTTTTCTTCAGGGGTCAGCACCTCTTGCATGATTTTGGATGTGGTCACCATAACATGTCATCACCCTCATCAGCACATAAGATGTAGAAATAAACCACCATACATATAATCTCAAGTAGGGAAAGGTGTCCAATTAAATAAGTTACAAACCTTTACAAAAACATTTCTCAAGTTTCTTTTAAAAACTGAATAAAAATAAAGATTAACAATGAACACACAAATGCATACTCATAAAAGGTACAGAAGACATATACCAAAATGTTAAAAGTAGTTGCCTTTGGGTGAGGGAATTATAAGGAACCATTATTTTATGATTTTCTATTCTCACTACTGTGATTGTTTGCTTTTATAACCATCAAAAAATAAACTTGTCACCAAAAGCAAATAACAGAATGTAATCAAGTGAGAAAAATAACTTTCCTGTGAAAATTGAGAACAAAACACATCAACACCACTTATGGGGCATAATCCAGAAAATCAAGAAAGTGATTTAAAAATAGTTCAGTAGCACAGTAGAAAAACCCCAAAGAGCTTGAACTCCAGGCTGCCCTGAGCCACATACAGAACCTGGGTTAAGCGTGGGATTTGGGGGTAACTTCGAACATTTCTGTCCCTTCTGGGGACAGCACTAGATGGGTGGTGGTCTACCTGCAGGCACAGGGCTCATAAGCACCCTCACAGGTGTCTGGGACAGGCAGCCTAGGCCCCACAGACCCCAATATCAGCAACTGCAGCTTAGTCCTGGGTTTTAGGACCACCAGCCCTTTCCAAAATCCTCGTTCTTCCAGGTGGTGGTATTTTGGGGGAGCAAGCAGAGGGCATTGTAATGCATATGACCATTTCTAGCTTTCACCTCTGACTACTCTAGGAACTGCTCATTTTCCTAGGAGCAGTTTCCACACAAAGGCATCCAATTCCTTGCTCAGGATAACTTGATCTGGGGCAGGTTCTAAGCCAGGTGGTCATTCTTAAAGGCATAATAGTTCTACCCTCATCTTGTTCAGGCCTCAGTGTTCAGGCCAATTATATTTTAAATAACTGGAAAGGTTCTTCATTATTTTCTGCTTTGGATCTCTGCTGGCAAAACTCACACATGGGTGAAAATAAAGGACTTTCGCACTTGTCTGCCCTCTGCAGCCTGGGCTGCTCCTGCAGCTCCTCCAAGGAGCCCTCCTGCTGCTTAGGCCTCCCTTGCAATGCCACCAGCTCCTCCTCCAGGGCTTCCCCGCCTCCCTCTTCAGAGCCACTCCCACCACTGGACCCACAGCCCTCACTGCTGTCCCCAGAGATGCTCACAACTCCAACCACACACCCGACTGAGCACGAGGGCAGGGCCAGTTCGGCCCACGGCACATGCAGTGCATGGTGCCTGATGAGTGAATGAATGAACAAACACACAAAAAGAATCACAGAAGCAGAGAAAGAGAAACCCTGCCCACCTCCTGCAGGTAGAGTCATGAGAGGCTGAAAATGATCACAATGACCTGCTGCCCTGACAGCTGGTGAAACCAGGAGGGCCTCAAATAACCTCACTCCAGGTGCCTCTCCCAACTCTGTTCCCATGGATAAGGTCTCCAGACAAACAGCCCTGCTACTCACAGGGAAGGCACTGTCTATCCTTGTCCTTGGCTTCAGTTTCTGTAGCTCTGTGGAATTCCACAAATAAGCCAATCCCATCTCCTGCAAGAACCAGAGGCACGCCCACCCTCTTGTTACCATAGCCCCTGCTGGCTCTCTCTGTCCCATGGGGCCCTGCCAGGTATGCCTTGTCCTCCTCCAGAGGCCATGAGTATGTGGGTTTAACAAGCTGTCATGGCTCTCAGCTGTGCAGTTCTGGGCATTGTGTATTCACAATCCCCTGAGCCCCAGGGTGGGACCCTCACTGCACGGCAGAGCAGAAGCCATTGAAATAAGGTGGGCTGTAAGCCAGGCACCCCCACAGCCTTCCACTCTATCCACCTGCTTGCTCTCCTGACTTTTCCAGGTTGTCTCATGTCTCTGAAAGGCCATGACCCCTGCCTGAAGATATCCCCCCAGCCCATTCCTCTCAGCAGGTACACATGATGCTCATTCCAGCCCACCCCACAGGGCAGGTTCCTGACCACCCCTTCTCTTTTTCTGGAGACTCTTCACATTCCTGCCTGCTCCATGCATTCCAGTGGGTAATTCTGTCGAACTTTAAGAAAGGGATACTAACTTGGGTGAGCCTGGCCTAATCCATCAAGCCCTTCAAGGGAGTGGGAAGTGCCTGAAATGAGAGATGGAGGAGTGAAAAAGATTCCACACAAGGGAGATGTCTCCACTCCTCCACTTTGAAGATGGAAGAGCCATGTGGCAATAAGCAGGAATGACCTCAAGATGACAAGAACTGCCCCTGGCTGAGACCCAGTAGTCCTACATGCACGAAGAATATAACCACAGGAGATGAGTTCTGACAAGAACAAGCTTGAGACTGGGTTTTTCCCGAGCAGCTCAAGAAGAGAACTCACCTGGCCAGCATCTGGACCTCAGCCTTCAAGCCCTCAAGCGCTGACCCTGCCCGCAGTGGGCCTGCACTTCCAACTTACAAAACTGAGTTAAGCAATGGATGCCATTTTAAGCTGCTAAATTTGTGGTAATTTGTCACACAGCAAAAGGAAACTGATCCATATGCCAAGTGTGGCCAAATCTTCTGATGTTAAAAGGAGCTGAATATGGACTTCTAATGAAAAGTTTCCATTTTGTTGAATGTTTGCACTAATTGAACATTACCTGACCCAACAAGCCACTCTGCAGGGCAGCACATTGTCTGTGGACGGCCACCTGGAACTTCTGATCTATGTGTATGCCATGCAAAGAGAGCAGGCTCGTGGCAGAGCGAAGTCTTCCCCTTCTTCCTGTGAACACATCCCTGCCCCAATATGTGCTGTCCTGTGCAGGTTCTTGGGGTAGAGACTAGTAGGAGAGGTAGTACCTGTGTCTAAGGACACAGACTCAGAGTCTTAAAAGGAAGATAAATCTAATTACCAAAAGAATGCACAGGAAGAAGCCCTAAAAGCAGAGGTAAAAGATAAATGGAAAAAGTAAGAAATATATTTACAGTCCATATTGCAAATAAAGAATCAATTCCCTAAGACACTCAACCTCTCTCACTCATAATAAGAAATACGATGTGGCAAGCAGCAGCCTTTGGGAAGGCCACCACCTTCCCTGCCTCCACGTGATATACTTGTGAGTTGCTTCCCCTGGAGTGTGGGCTGTACCCAGCAGCCCACTTATAACAGTAGCAGAGCTAATGGGACTCCACTGCTGTGACTAATTACCAGAGACAGTGATTTCCATCTTGCTAGCAGGCTAAGTTCTTCTCAGACTACATGTTCTGATGAAGTGGCTGCTGTGCTGGGGACGTCTATGTGGGGAGGCACTGAGGGCAACCCCTGGGAACAACAGTGAGAACTGAGCCCTTTTTCCAACAAGCACCAAGTGTGACTATGTATGTGGGTGAACCTGGATGGCAACGGCAGCCTAGGGAGAGACCCTGAAGCAGAAAACCCAGTGAACTCTGCTGGGATTCCTGGCCCAGAGTGACCCTGAGACAGTATGCACATGCTACTGCAGTTTTAATTAAGCAGCAATAGAAATCAATACAATGAGGTACAGTTTTCCATCCAGCAGATTGTTAAAGATCAAAAAGGTTGAAAATAAACATGAATGTCAGAAACAAGCACTCCCTTATTATTCTGGAGTAAATATCACAGTCCTACTACCAGATAGTGACTTGGTGATGTCTATCAAAGTCCTGAATGCACATGCTCTTTGGCCACGCATTTCTACTTGCAACAATCTCTCCTACCGATTTACTCAGACATGTATAAAATTACGTATGTCAAGATTACTCTTTTGTTAGTAATATTCTTTTAGGTTGTTCTTAGGGGCAGAATTGTGTCCCCCTCCAAATTCTCATACTTATGTCCTAACACCCAGCACAGAATGAGACTGTTTTTGGAGACAGGGTCTTTATCAAGGAATTAAATTAAAATGAGTGCATTAGGGTAGCCCTAATCCAATATGGCTAGCATCTTTATTAAAAGAAGATAGGGGGCGGCACCTGTGGTTCAAGGAGTAGGGTGCCGGCCCCATGTAGAGGAGGTGGTGGGTTCAAACCCGGCCCCAGCCAAAAACTACAAAAATAAAATAAAAGGAGATAGGACACACACACAGAATAAAAACCATGTGAAGACATGACAGAGGCCTCGGAAGGAACCAACCCTGCTCACACTTTGATCTGGGCCTTCCAGCCTCTAGAACCATGAGAAAATAAATTTCTGTGGCTTAAGCACCTCCCCACCCCCAGGCTATGGTACTTTGTTATGCAGTCAAAGTGTTAAACATTACAGTTATGTCAGAAGGGAAATAGTTAAATAAATTTTAGAATAGCTGTACAATGATATTGTACATGTTTTTTCCATGCCTGAAATTGAACTCCTTACTTATTTCAATTATATGAACTAATAAAATATCTTTTGAAGGTTAACTTAGGTTAAATTTAGTCTCTGTCACTAGTAAGTAAAAGAATCTTACTCAATTCACACACACACACACACACACACACACAAACAACTGGCATCTGAGAAGGCCTGCACCATATTCATTAGGCCAGACCAGACATGCAGCTGCCTATTCCTTAGACGACATAAGAAAGGGTCCCCTTCCCAAGTTCCCATTTAGTTCCCTCTTAACTCTTGGTTCAAAAGCATGCCAGCCCAGGACAACCTCAGGCCAGCAAACATGAAAGGTGCAGTTGCCTGGAAGCAAATGGACAAGGCAATCTCCTTGCTGGACTCAATCTCCACTTGTTTGGGGTCCACACTTTGGCTCTCAGGAACCCTCAGAGGTCCACCCCCCGAGGATTCAGGGAGTCCTACTATGCTGCAGGGCTGTGTGGCAGCCCCAGCTTCCATGGCCTGCCACAGCTATCTGGACTCCACTCTTGGGTCCCTGTCCTATCCATATGAACACAGCCGAATGTGTGATAGCTCAAGCCTGGCAGATACAAAGCAATAGGACTATGAGGCTGAGTTCTCGCCTCCATCAGGCCAGGACCCTTCAGGCCCTATCCAGCCCACAACCCTTCACTCAGCTCCTGCCCTATCTGCCTCTTGCAACCCCAATTTACAATACTGTGTCATTTAGTATGCACAAGTTTGAGAACAAAACATAAATACAGAAGAAAGCAGTAAACTTATGAATTTAAGTCAACAAAAATGGTGAAGCAAGGACCTCTGAAAATTCTCTCTTCCATAAAAGCAATAAAAAAAAAAACCTTCAAAAAGTGTCAGAATCAACTCTTCAGAACTCTAGAACTTAATCAAAGGCTTGTGACAATCCGGGAAGTATCTATTCAAGAAAAACTCCAGAAGCTCAGAAAGAACAGCAACACTGTAACATCCATGACGCTGGAGATGTTGGAAATTTCCTCAGTACCACTGTCCTGCTCTGCTGGAACCCTAAAAATTAACAGCCCACAACTGTGCTGACTGCAAGCAGCCTGTAGGGTGCAGAATGGGGCTGGCGCTCCTTCAAATTCCCATTCCCAAAGAATTATTATTTGTCCCATATGGGGTTCCCTGGAAGATCCCACTTATAGAGCAGTCTCCATATCATCCCATTTGTAGTTCACTTACTTCAAAAATCCTATGCTCTGGGGGAAGTTAGGCAAAAACAATTATAGGTATGGTGGACAACAACTGGGGTAAATAATAGACTAAGGAAAAAGCTTAAAAGGAAAAGCTGGGGAATGAGATGACTACAGGACTTTTGAAAAGTTCCCCTGGGGAAGGAAGAAGGCCACCCACGGATATAAGGCAGTGCTCATGCCCAGGGCTAGGCATACACTCAGGAAATATCTGAAAGGACCCAAACTCTGGCCTCTTTAGAGGCTTTGCACAAGCAGGGGTAAAGGCTAAGGTAAAGGCTGAATGCTGGTGTGCCTCTACATACAAAGCCCCTTGGTCAAGACTGGAAGACTTACTGGTTCCTAAATCAGGCTTCAGGAAAATCTATAACCAGTCATTAGCAGACCACTAAGCAGAGATTTCAGTGGCCATCTACAACAAAGAATGGTACATCCTTAATAGAATTCATTCAGAAAAGTCACAAACAACAAACAAACTCTGGGGAGTAGGAAAAATCTCATTTCCAGAGTTGCTACATTGTATTATTTAAAATATCCAGTCTTCAACAACAACAAAACAAGATATGCAAAGGAAAAAGAAAGTATGGCCCATAAACAGAAAAAAAAAAAAAAAATAGAAATTTTCTGCAAGGAAGTCTAGACATTGGACTAACTAGACAAAAACGTTGAATTGGTTGTTTTAAATATATACGAAGAACTTAAGATACTATATCTAAAGAACTAAAAGAAAGCCTGGGAATGATGTCTAACCAAATATGTAATATCAATACACATACAAATTGTTTTTTTTTTAAAAAAAAACAATCAAGTAGAAATTCTGAAGTTGTAAATTACAACTAGAAAGTAAAATTAGTATATCGACAAATAGCTGATCTGAGCAGGGAGAGTAGTTCAAAGAGCCATTAAACTAAACGACAAATCAAAAGAAGATTTGAAGAACAGAAATTAGAAAGAATGACGAAAATCAAAAAGGGCCTGCAAAAGATGGAGCAAGATGGCAGAGGGGACGCATTGCTGGGTCAACTCTCCTCGCAGTTTCAGGTGAGAGTGGGGAGGCTGGATCTTTCCCTGCGTGGAGTGCTGGCATAGACACACAAGGCAGGGTGTGCAGCAAAGAGGTGAATTGCTGGATTGGAAGTGTAACCCAGAACCATAGTATCTGCCAGAAAAAAACTTGGTGCTGCAACTGAAGCAGCACCAGCTGTGGCTGGCAGCCGGCAGCCAGCGGCCAGTGGCCTGAGACAGGAGAAACCAATCACTCCCCCATGAAGGACTTCTATACCCAATTTGTGGGGAGTTTGGGTGTTTTGCAGAGAGTGTAGTGAGGCGTGGACTCCCAAGCAGAAATTGGCGACCAGAAAGGGGAGCCGTTTGGACCCTGTTTGGAGCATCAGGGGTCCAGGCAACTGGACAGAAATTTGAGGGGAAAGGATTCCACTTAGAAAAGAGATTCATTTTGTAATTTTAGAAGTCTTTGTGGCACTGCCCTGAATTGGCAAGCAACAGGGGCAATCCACCCCTTTCCTACAGACTCTGAAAAGTCTTTAGTGCACGGCAATGAATCCGCAGGAATCAGTGGTAATCAGCCCCTCCCTCACAAAAATGGACTGGAAACAGTGCCGTGGTGCTAAAGGGGCTGGTGCAAGCAGCAACCAGCCCTTTTCCCATGAAAGATAACAATTTCCAGTTTGAGGGGAAACTAGGAGTTGAGTGGAAAAATGGGTGAAGCGTGGGCTCCTGTGCCGAGTTTAAAGGACAGATAGGAGTGCCACCTGGAAAAGGAAAGCCAAGGCTGGGCAGCCAGCCAGGAACCAGACATATTGTAAAACTTCAAAAATGGCATCTCCATAGCACCTCTTTCAGGAGCAGGGAGAGCTCAATCTCACCTGTAGCCAGTCATCCCACATCTGAAGCTGGTTTAGGACACCCCACACTTTAAGGGAACTGTTGTAGGGAGAATTTGTGCAACCTGCTAGCAAAGATTCCTTTTTTAATTGTTGTTGTTGTTGTTTTGTTTGTTTGTTTTTGTTTTAGCCTGGAAACCACTCACAGTGTCACTTGCTGTCTAGAATGTATATTGCAACATAAACATATTCCCACTAAAGTTGACCCCCACCTCATAGGTATAGTGGTATGTTTGTATATATACATAAGAATAATATTTTTTTGGTGGTACTCCTCCTTTTTTTCTTTATCCTTTTTCTGGTAGGTGTTATTGTTAAGTATTTTTATTTTTTATTATTAATACTATTCTTCCTTTTTTCTTCTCTCTTCCTCTGCTTCTCCTTTTATGGTTGCTGAGAGCGCTTACATCAGACTAATAGTTTTGTTTTGTTTTGTTTTTTCTTTTCTTTTTTTTGCTTTTTTATGATTTTATGATTAACATTTTTGTGGGTTTTTTTCTGTTTCTTTTTGTTTTGTTTTGTTTTGTTTATTGTCTGTTTGTTTACTTGTTTCTGATTGTCTGTGCATCTGTGTGCTTGGGGTCTAGTAGCATTTTTGTCTGTTTATTTGTTCACTTGGTTTCAATGTGTTTTGTACTTTGCTAAATTCTCAGATTGGCTATTTTCCCTAACTCCAATTTTCACATTCAATAAGAATATGAAGGAACAGGGGATGAGGGCTGACTGGAGCTAGTTTTCAACATAAACTCCAGTTGAGGGGGAGAGATAACCGTTAGAAAGAACCAATGAAGCTGAAGGAGGAAAGCCGAGCTGAGAGAAGATAGATAAACTCACGTCTTATCCACCGAGGCAAGTCATGACTTCAAGAAAACAAATTCCAGATTTAGATTGAGCCCAGGTGGAATATTCTCCAGCTGCCATTGAGTGCCTGAGGCAGATAGGCTTTAGCGCCCTCTGCTGACTGGAGACAAAGAGTGGTCACCGAATGGAGGAGGCATTGACTTTACTTGGACGCAGGCAGACTCAAAGCCCTGACACAGTCGCTTATTGGACAGAACCAGGCCACAGAGTCTGGATTAACAGAGACTGGTGGTGCAGTTATCAGAGACTGGGGTTACCAGAGTCTGGTGGTGAAGGGCGAGCAAGGAGAGCAAAGAGACATCAGCCTCTTTACTCCAAATCATCTACTGAACAGGCCTTTCTGACTCCTCAGAGCATCAGGGTGAGCCACACTTGAGCTACCAGTAGATTCCTACTATCTACTTGCTGGAGACCTTGTGAGCTTTCCAGCTAGAAAGTGGGTACTGATCAGGTCAATAGGTTTGGATCTCTTGAACTGGGCAAATTAATTGGTGGTTGAGGGAGAATCTCTGGTGCTGTCTGGATTGTCTCAGGCCTAGATTGACTTCAGGTGGAACATTCTCCAGCTGTCATTGAGTGCTTGAGACAGACAGGCTTCAGCTCCCTTTGCTGGCTGGCGACAAAGAGCAGTAACTGAGTGGAGGTGGCATTGACTCTACTTTGACTCTGGCAGACACAAAGCCCTGCCACACTCGCTTATTGGACAACTGGGTCACAGCACTGTGGGGTCTGTGATTGAGTGTGACAAAGGTGCAAGGTGGGGAAGGAGACATCAACCTTCCCAGACTAATTTATTTGCTGGGTAGGTCCTTCTGACCCCACGGAACACTGGAACGAGTCTTATCTGAACGGCCAGAAGACCCTGCTGTCTAGTTGCCAGAGACCTTCTGAACTCCCTCACTTGAGACCAGTGTTGACTGGGACACTTGATTTAGATCTCTTGAACTGGGCCAATCACCTGAGAACTATCTAAAGCGGTAGTCTGGGGGTGTGGCTGTGGGAAGGTGTGGTTTTCCTTTCCCAATCGTCACCTACGAGAGGCAGGGATACTTGATCCCTGATATTTCTCCACAGGTGAGACTTTAACTCAGAGTAATTGATTTTCTAAGGTAGAAGAGAGACCAGCTGAAAACAAGATAGAGATGCTCAGTCCCACCACATCAAGCAGGCCCCCAGTCTCTCAGACCACAGCACTATACGCATCCTTGGCAAAGCTCTAGGGGAAAAAGTACAGACACCAGTCCCAGTCTTTGACCAAAAGCACTAGTAAAACACTACTCCCAGAGCCCCCAACCCAACTTCTTCTTACCTGCTCACCTAGCCAAACAGTATGAATTCACCATGGGGCAGAATTAGGGGAAAAACTCTGGTAATATGAATAACCAGAGTAGATCAACACCCCCCCCCCCGAAAAAAAGGAAGGATATGGCAGATGCATCTGAATATCCCACCCTTAAACAGATGTTTGACATGTCAGAAATTGAGTTCAGAATTTGGATAG